TCATTAAGATCTTCAAATGTCTGGCGAACGATTCACAATCAAGGGATTCAATATCGGTCGTCCATCTAAACCACTCCCCATTTACCATTGATCTTCCTCATATTTATGGGTCATGCTACACTAGGAAATCTATAAATAAATCCCTCCTTCCTCTTGAAAAGGGACCCCTAAGCCTAAGGAGAAAAGAGAGAGATCGGAGATCGTTCTTGGCTCCCTGCCTCCCGACTACTGTCGGAGTTCTGCCGGACTATCACCTGACGCCCGGTGTTTTGCCGGATCATCACCTGATGCCTGGAGTTCCACCAGACCACCTCCTGACACCCAAAGTTCTGTCAAATCACCATTGAACTACCAACTGACGTCCGAATTTTCAAGTAACTCTGGACTTCCGACGGACCACCAAGTGACACCAAATTTTCATCCCCGTTTGTCAATAGATTTCAACCATACGGTTGACATTTGTTATATGATCTCCCTTAAAGATGAGTCAACTCAATGTAATCTACTCGAATTCTAGTGGAATCATTTTTTATTGGGTCAGGCTCCATGATTTTTCACCTTTCCAGCGTTTTCCACATAAAAAATCTTGTTTTCTCTATGTGAGAGCTGGATATCCATACAATACTAAGACATAGGAATATAACTCTATTGCCACGTACATTTTAGTCCGCAACAAAGTCAATGGAAGTTTATATATGAATAGACTTATATTGGACTTCTAGAGCAAGTATATCACACTACCAACTTTGTTTCTTTATTTATTCCTCCAGCTCACCAAAAACTTTCCTTAGAGCATCAGAATCCAGTTTCTTACTTTCATAGCACCTCACTTAGAATACTAGAATACAATATTTACATGATATAAGCTTCATTTGGGACGGCTTTTTTAATGCTTTCTAAAACAGTTTTGTAGTGCAAAAATTTCTTGAATTAGAAAACTCTGTACTAAAAAATTATTTTAGAAAGCATCAAAAAAGCCGCCCCGAATGAAGCCATAGTCATTTGGTCATGATCTAAGCTGACGTGGAAGATTTTCATGACTTTTGAATTGAGTCCTTTCTCAAGCTAAGTTTTAAGGAAACTCTAAGTAAACATGGGTCCTTCTGATTGATTGATTCTAACGCCACTCATATGATAATTATTCAAGTAGAATCTTAGGCCAATTGATCAGTATGATAAGCATAAAGATGGTTCTCTTTAACTAACCTAAACTAACAAAGAAACATCCACTGTCAATCATACATAAATTGTAGGAGCTACAAAGCCGTTGAAAATTTACTAAAGGCCCACCGTTTCATACAGGAGGTTTAGATACATATGATCAGTGATCAAAGCTTGAATATTTTTATAATTGGGGGATTTTCATAGATCAAGGAAATGAACTGCCGTCATTGAAAGTTTTGCAAATTTATAAATCACATAATTAACAGAATCTATCACAGAACTATGCCTAAATAAAAAAAAAATGGCTGCAGATTTGTGAAGAAAGGGACATAGAAACAACTAGATGACATGGATTGGAACCTACTAACAAGCAAACGGGAGAACGATTATATCTCCAATGAGATGATGAAATTTCAACATCTTGATTGTTCTACAATCATATAGTTCTCAATCAAAATATCTCACCTAATAATTTTCAATCTTAAAAACTAAAGCTCCAAGCTTGTCTTCTTCAATCTTATGTGTAAAACACACCACCTCGTTTGTTGCAGAATGCAACATAAAAAACCGATGAACAACCTTTCAATTGATTTAAAAAAAAAAAAAATCGCGTAGCAAGCTCGAACTCTTTAGCTTTATTTAAATGCTAGAAATTAGAGTGAAAATATGAAAAAAAAGAAATAAAATAAAATCAATGGCTGCATATTCATATTAACCCCAAATTACTGGGATTATTTTGTCAGTAGTGAAATACACTAGTGGTCCAATCCTTTTTCACCTAAATAGATTAAACCAAACATATGGTGAGATCCAAAAACCTAAACTTTTACATCAATATATTAAGAGTAAACACATACTATTACATGTTTTAACAGAATAGAGTTTAAGAATTGAGAAAATGGAGAGGTGGAATCAGACAACTCTAGTGGGGCTGAGTGTTAGACCTATCCACCGGACTGGTCCAGCCGGTCCACAAGGGACCGGCGTTTCGCAAATAAAGCCGGGATCTCCGCCTCATACGGAGATCGGGCGGTCCGAACGCCCAATCGGAGCCCTTTAGGAAGGATTTTTGAGGATTTTGAGAGGAAAATTTGAATGTAGTGACTGTTTAGGGATTTCCTTTTGATTTGTATGCATTAAATAGTTGATTTTCCTAGGGTTAGGGCATCTTGAATTTGGCTGAAATTTGAGATCTCTTAGATTTTAGGTTTCCTTTGGGCTCTAGCTGCGTTTAGAGATTTGGGAGAGAAAGATCCTCCTCTCGAATAGGATCAATTGTATCTTGGTATTTTCCATTTCCATTTCATTAAATATTACAAATTATATACTGTTTTCTTGTTTTTTTTGTGGATTTTTGTGGAGAATTATCGCTGTTTTTCTAAGATTGATAGAAAATACTTGAGATTTTCAAGTGTTTCCTATCAAATTGGTATCAGAGCACCACAATCGAAGGGGAACCAATGGCCGAAACGAAAGTGAAAATTTTGGAGGGAGAACATGAGAAACTCAAAGCAGATTTTAAGGAAAAGATGACTTATTTTCAAAGTCAGATTGCATCCGTCAATGAAAAGATGGAGAAAAAGTTCGCCGTGGTGGAAGACTTGTTGAAGAAATTGCTTGAAGACAAAACCAAACTGGTGACATAAGAAGCAAAGGAAACTACCGGCGGCCATGGAAGAGATGGGAACCCTAACAAGTCTAGGGGAAGGGAAAAGCCAGAAGTGGAGATCCTGGAGGGAGAAGACAGAATGCCTCCTCTAGAACCACTTTCTAGGGAGGAGCTGAGCATTGGTTATGCAAGAAGGGGTGCTGAATTTGTAAGGCGAGGGGATGATTTTGATCTCCGGGGTGCTGATTTTGAAAGAAGAAGAGGGGATTTTGATGAATGGTTTGGGTATGATCGCTGGAGGGAAGATCGTGACAATTGAGGAACACCTCTGATTCGAGGAATGGAAGGTTATGGAGGATTTAGGGGAAACGGGTGTGACCCGAGGGTGAGGAAATTGAAGATGTCAATCTTTGAGGGGGAGGATGCACACATGTGGATCTACAAGGTAGAAAAATATTTCGCCGTCAATGGGCTGACAGAGGAGTAGAGATTGACGGCGGTGGGCTTATATTTAGAAGGGAAGGCTTTGTCTTGGTATCAGTGGAGGGACATGCGACGACCCATACGAAGTTGGAGAGAGTTCAAGGACTGATTGGTAGAACGTTTCCAAACTGGTATAGGAGGAGACTTCTACGAGCAGTTCTTTGCCTTGACACAGGAGGGTTTAGTGACGGAGTACAAGGGCGGAACCATAGCTTCCTTAGAGGGGACAATTGCCCCCCATCAAAAAAATTTTTTTAATAGGAGTGTAAAAAATTAAAAAATAAAATAAAAAATTTGCCCCTCCTAAAAAATTACTTTTGCCCCCCCTAAACATTTTTTTATCCTAACTTGCCATAAAATATCTATATATTTCTTTACATTTAGTTCTAATATTATTTTTTTAATATTTAATTATTGTTTTAATATTTAATATTTAATATTATTTAGTTATAATATTATTTAATATTTAATTATTTGTGTGGTGTATTTGCCCCCCTCAAAATTGAAGCTGGTTCCGCCCTTGACGGAGTATTGGGAGAGATTCGAGTACCTTGCAAGCAGATTGGACCGCCTTTCTAAGACGTTGCTAGAGAGAAACATCATGAAGGGATTGACACCAGAGATCCGAGTAGCGGTTAGAGTAATGAGGCCTCATGACTTGTGAGAGGCTTTTGAGCTAGCTCAATTGGTAGAAGATCATAGGCACCTGGAGGGAGAGACGTGAGGTGGCAGCTCAGGAGGCTCAATCGAATGTCGGGACTGTTTAGGGATTTCCTTCTGATTTGTATGCATTACATAGTTGATTTTCCTAGGGTAAGGGCATCTTGAATTTGGCTGAAATTTGAGATCTCTTAGATTTTAGGTTTCCTTTGGGCTCTAGCTGCATCTAGAGATTTGGGAGAGAAAGATCCTCCTCTCGAATAAAGGATCAATTATATCTTGGTATTTTTCGTTTCCATTTCATCAAATATTACAAATTATCTACTGTTTTCCTGTTTTTGTGTGGATTTTTGTGGAGAATTCTCGCTGTTTTTCGAAGATTGATAGAAAATACTTGAGATCTTCAAGTGTTTCCTATCACTGAGCAGGTGAGATTGGAAAAAAAAAAACTCGAGTTTAGATATGTGTTAATGGTACTATGGAGAAAAGATAAGAGATGAGTTTGTGTAGCACAGCACTGAAGACAAATTAAGCTGATTTACTTATGTGAAAAGAGTTGCTAAGTAAATCAGATAAGCCACAGCTAGCACGATGAAATTGTTAAAGGAAAACAATTACTGACAATTGTAAAGCTTCACAATCACAGCCATTGATTTATAATTTATGTTTTTAGGGGATATTGCAGTGCCCATAAATGTCTTCCTAAATAAGCCCATATTTCTTCCCTATAAAAAAACAATCCATGTAAAATTTAAGTAATAGTGTTCATCATTAAGCATGTTATAAAAGTGAATCATGTCAAAGTGAAGATAATGAAAGAACAAAGCAAGAAGAACATTAACTAGATTAGGAGTAAAGCTTCAAAGCTAGAAATTTTGAACATTAACATGCATGAGTTTAAGCTTGAAATCAAGAAGAACTCGTCTAATCTAGGTATAATCTTGTGAAATATCCCATTGTATTTCCTATAAAGGGTTCTCACAAGACTTGAAATATAGTTCTACTAGACTTACCAAGCATTAATAGAAAATAGAAAAGTGATTATTAAAACAACAGAAAAGTATTGCACTAGCCAACTTTAGGGTTTAGGACAGAAATAATAACTTTCAACAACATAGATAAAATATTAAAGAAGGTTTTAAAGCTTTTGTAGAATTAAGACAAGCATCTTATGATCAAAAGGTTCAGCATCATTCAAGAAAATAAATTTTGAAAGACACAATTAGATCCAAACAGTGTACGTCAAGAAGCAGCACTATGGTCTATCTTCAAAAAAAGGAGAATAATAATGGAAACACACTGAGCTGAAAGATTGAAATTTTCGGCAAAGAACAGCACCCTCAATCAATTTAACGGTCCAAGCAATGAACAACAGGTAAAAGTAGAAGAGTAGTACAGCTAGCACCCATTTTCATTTCCACCTTTTGATCGTTTAGAAGCATTTACGGTGCACAATAGACGGCCCTGATTCGTCATACTCTGCCTTTGCAATCCACATCTGTCAGCATATATAAGAGCTAATCAGAAATTCATATGCAAATTTAGGAGTAAGAAAGAAATATAAATAGAAAAACTCAGTACTGCCAATCCAAAGAAACTAGTCTTTTTAACTTGGTTTTTGGAGATTTGACACTGGACTATTGCCTATTTTCAACTCCAAAGGTCTTACATCTTTTACTAAATTTTTTCCCTTCTGAAGTGATACACATTCTATTTAAAAGGAAGGTTATATCTATTGCAAAATTAAATGGTAGTCGAATTCATATTTGCAGCTCATACGCAGACCTGATAATATTGAAAATAGTAATGAAGTTAATCCCAACACATTCACAACAAGGATAATCCTTATTGAGGTATGAGAACAAATGCTGATTGAAGCGCATTAGGTTGGTTAAATTAGACAATTTAGCAGTACAGCCATCCATTAGAACAAAAGAAAACAGAAGGCAGGAAATAAGACAATAAACTATTGTCCATTCTTAAATTAAAATTCCCCAAATATCAATACGTTTTATGATGAAAATTTGACATGTATGGTGGGCGTAACTTTCCTTCTTTGTTTAAGCCATAATGAATGGCTACGTAGTAATGGAATATGCAAGCATACTTATTGTGGTCAAAGATGCCAAAGTGCTAATGTCCAAATCAACAAAAGGTAAAATGAGAGAAGCAAAATGTTCACCTTTGTCAAATTATGTACTAATTCATAATAAAACATAATATGTACTAAAATTGACATTAATATATTAAAAAAATATACTAAAACTATGCAAAATAGACTAATCAAAATTGCATGTTGTACATAAGGTAATGTTCGTGAAATTATATTGCCTAAATCATAACTTTTTAATATAATCATTATGTTAAAGAAAGATAGAGGTAGACCTAAAAAGGCATGATTAGAGAGTATTAAAAATGACCTTTTTTATTAGATTTAAATAAGAATTTAACTCTTACAAAGATGCAATGGAGAAAAAGAATATTGTTACGCCTCCAATGCAAAAACAACAAACATTCAATTCGAAAAATTGCAGATATGCCCAAAAGGTGGCTAATTTTGTATGATTCCGTCGATGCAAAAAAAAGAGGCAACGATTTATAATTAGAGAGGTAGATCGGCTTTCCCAAACAACCTAAACGCAGCTAGGAAGCCCTCAAGAGAAAACTATAGAAAAACTATAGCAAACTCAAAACATGGAACAAGAAAAATAAACCCTAGAACCCTCCTTAAATAAGCTCTCAAATTCCTTCCAAAACAGATTTCTTTCCTTATTAATTTCCCCCTTTAATTTGAATTCAATTAGGAAATCTTTCTCTGTTTAATTTGGATTCAATTAGGAAATCTTTTCCTCTTTAATTTGAATTCAATTAGGAAATCTTTTCCTGATTGATCCTCTCCTTAATTTCTCTCCAAACACAGTTTAAAATTGCGCAATTAGAGGCACGAGGCGAGCCTTTGCGCAATTCTGGGCAAAATTGCCTCATTGCTTAAGCAATTTTGGTTCCTCATGAGGCGTACGCTTCTTTCACTGTGAGGCGCACGCCTCTAATAATCGGGATCCACACACTTAAGTCTAAATGAAATAAGACTTCTTCCTCCCCTCTCATAGCAGCCTACCTGAAATCGAGCAGGCAAAAAAACCCGCAGCCCGCAAGCTCTTCCGCACGATCGCTCGGCCTCCCTTCCCACCGCCTCTCCCGCTGGCGTTGCCTCACTCCGGCGAGCTTGAAGTGTTCGGCCGCCCACTAGGAGAAGTCCACAAACAGTATTTTTTTTTTTAATTCAACGAAAGATTTTTCAAGTGAAAGAAAATCTAGGGTTTGAAGTTTTTTTTAGATTTTTTATTTGTTTTCACATTTTTGCATTATGAAACATAGTTAGAGGCAAGGAAAAGACAAATACATCATTGCGACGTGACCCTTCTTGGAAATACAATGTGCAAGTTGATGTAGGAGGCGGCGAGAAGACATATGTGTATTTAAAATGCAATTTTTGTGATAAGGTAGTGAAGGGAGGAGTAACTCGTATGAAGGGACACTTATCCGGCTCACATAAGAATGTAGCACCTTGTGTGAATGTTCCGGATAATGTGAAAGAGGAAATTACAGCTTAGATGAAAAAGAGTACGACGGCTAAACATTTACAACATGAGCAATTTGATGAAATGGTCGAACATGGTGCTTACTTCGGGAGCGAGAGTGAAAAGGGCTCTTCCTCAACTATACATAATAGAGGTGCACGGAATCCTATGGACCAGTATATGACTAATCCAGGAGAGGATATAGGACAAGTACAGATGATGCCTGCGGCTAGTACTAGAGAGGGTCGACAGCAGGTTTGCATGGATATTGGCAGATCTTTTTTGAGAATGTCATACCATTTAATGTTGCGACATTGCCGACCTACTTCAATATGCTGCGGTCTGCAGGGTTGTATGGGAGAGGGTTGAAGGAAGCTTCCATGTATGAGTTGCGAACATGAATTTTAAAGGAGCTGCAGAACACAGAGCAGAGCATTGATGAGATTAAATGGATATGGATTGAGACTGGTGTTACCATTATGTCAGATGGATGGTGGTCTCACATGAAGAGGAGTCTGATTAATATTCTTGTCAACAATTCCTACGACACGGTATTTTTACGATCAGTTGAAGCTTCAGATGAGGTTAAAAATGTTTAATTCATTTTCAATTTACTAGATGGGGTTGTTGAGGAGATTGGGGAACAATTGGTTGTTTAGGTGGTGACTGACAATGCTAGTGCATATAAAGCAGCTGGTCAGATGTTGATGGAGAAGAGGAAACACCTGTATTGGACCCCCTGCGCAGCACACTATAACGATCTCATATTGGAGGAACTTGATGATTTACCTTAACACAAGAGCGCTCTTTCTAGGGCGAAGAAAATCACAAAGTTCATATACAACCACTCATGGGTCTTAGCCTTAATGAAAAAATTTTCAAAGAAGGAAATCATTCGCCCTGCAACCACTAGATTTGTTATTACATTTGTTCATTGCAAATCATTTTCAATTCCTAATGCAAATTTATTCTACAGGTTCGCCACATCTTATTTGACACTGCAGAGCCTGCTTGATGTGAGACAATCTCTTGAAGCAATGTTTACATCAACACAATGGCTTAATTATGCAAGGGGGAAGAAAACTGAGGGGAAGGAAATACGAAGGGTAATTCTAAATGATAAATTTTTTGCTACTGTCACCTACGCCATATTGAGCACGAGACCCTTGGTAGAAGTTCTACGTTTAGTGAATGCCAAGAAAAAATCAGCCATGAATTTTATTTATAATGATATGGTGAGGCGAAGGAGTTGATTGCACATAACTTGGGAGGAGATGAGGCAAGTTATAGAGAGATTTGGGATATCATTAATGCTCGGTGGGAGGTCCAATTACACCGTCATCTACATGCAGCGGAGTATTATCTCAATCCTCAATTTTAATATTCAGAGAGGAAATCCTCAAACCCGGAGGTGAAGCTTGGCTTGTATTATTGCATGGAACGACTAATACTGGACCAGACCGTTAGGGAGCTTGCAGATTTACAAGTTGTTCTATTTCGAAATAGGGAGGGATTTTTTGATCTGCAAGCAACAAAATCAACTTTTGTCAAACAGTCTTCAAGTATACTTATTTTTTGTTGACCTGCAAATAGAATCGGACCCAATCAACAAACCCGACCAAGTCTACCTCAGCAACGATCGATCCCACAACTGCCCATGATCGGACACAACCACCCACGTCGTTCCCACGATCGCACTCCTCTCGGCAGGAACCGCTCCTTACGACACAAAATGACTCCTCTCATTCGGTACTCTCTCACGCACACAGATGCTATCAGAACCGAAAGAAATCACAAGAGAGAAAGGGTTTGCGACATACCTCTTCCTTCGACACCGATCTTGCGAAAGACCTGCCTCCAGCCTGACGAAAATCCGGCCAGCCCGTCTCCGACCGACACCCCCTCCATCTCCGATTCTAGACGTCAAAGCCGCCGTGCCCTAGGTCCACTTGATCTACTCATTTGCTTCGGCTAAACCCCATCAACTCCGGCCGACTCTTCGCCGACCAAGGACACCGGCAGCCGCCTAACCCGCCGCCGACCAGACCACCGACTCCCACACTTCCGTGCGTGGCTTCCTCCGATGCTTGCCCGATCGGGCTTCTCTCCCTCCCTCTGTTAAAAGTTATACTAATATATTATAATATATTATTTATATATTAAATAGGCATCGTAATTGGAGAGATTTGAAGGAAGTCCCGGGGTTGATTCGGTCCCCCGAAGCCCTTGGCCGTCGAGTTAATCCGGCCGAGGAAGCGCAAACACCGATGGATTCGATCACTCTCCCAAATCTCCTCGCCGTTGATTCGCTCCGGCCGAGTCGAGCATTCTCTTACCTCCCGGCACAGGGGAGGGGACGCCGGAAGGCTGCCGGATTTTCACGGAAAATATTTTTTTAATCAAAATTAAATTAATTTGCTTAAATCAGCAGGTTGTACACATCAGAAGACTTGAAGATCTTTATGGGATTGATTCGCTCTCCCAATCTCCTCGCCGTCGATTTATTCCGGCCGAGTCGAGCACTCCCTTACCTCCCGGCATCGGGGAGGGGACGCCGGGAGATGAAACCCTAAATTTGTTGCTATTATACGATAGGTTTATAACCTATTCGACCTCTTTTATGACTAGCCTTAATCGAAAGTTCTCTCTCGTTATCGGGAGGGGGAATTAACTATAGGGGCTTGCGCCTATAGGAAACCAGAACTCAGATCAAAAAGTCCTCACCAAATGAGGGCGAAATCTCTGGGTAGTGTCTTATCTAAAACCCAATCTGCCTTCTGAAAATTCCCCCGGAACCTAATCTAGTTAAAACTCTCTATTGTCATCGTCACCCAAACATTTTAAAAATAAATAGAATGATGACGTGGAAAGGCCGGGATCACACATCCTAAAATGGAATTTTTCGGAGCCCACATTT